CTACAAAATTTGTTAATGTCTCTAATTTTTTATTATTGAGTTATCGAGGGTAATAAATAAAAGAAGCATTTTTTTAATTGCTCATAACTCCATTTTAAAAAATCACGCGAACGCGCGTTGCAATTAAAAAAAAACATAGATTCTATTAAAGCTTTGCTCTATCGAATAGTATAATTGTCAAATTTTTTTAAAAAACATGACAAATGAAGTAGCGCTATGAACTTTTATTCTTAATATACCTACTTAGTAAGAGATTGAGATATATATTAAAAATATATGTAATATGTGTATCATAATAGAGATCCGTTCAATATTCGAGCTTATTACGTCATTTTATTGAAGGCACGTAATTCAATTTATGTCAAGATGAATCTTAGACATAAAAATCGAATCAGAACTTGTTATTAGAATAATATTAAAATAACAATAATGTTTTGTGCAACGCGATTACGAAAATGATTAATTCATGTATCTATTATAAATGCACACAAAGGCACCATTTAAATTCTTATTGGTCAGCCTATTCTTTATATTGTTGAAATATCTACCAAAAATATTTATTCGGCAGTGTTTATACACGTTATATATAATTGTTATGTACAGCGAAATTATCGACGAAAATTTTTTCTTCCTGCCTAAAGTAGAATTGGACGTAGTGGACTAAAATCACTTTGGTGGAGTATCAGTCAATTTAGTACTTCCGGTTTGTACGCCGCCGCTGTAGAGCATGAGTTCTTCCTTCATATGAAACACTATGATTTCTTCAACCGTCGAGAAAGACAGCTCGTTCACTTTCGCGGAGCCCAATGCATATCTAAACAATTGTAAGGTAACATTCTTCTAAACCAAATTTTATTTGTATATGTTAATAATAAATTAACAAAAAATAACTTTATAAGTATTGTACGCGAATTATCATCGTGAAAAGGATAATTTTCATATTTGGATTCTTAAGATAAAATAAACTGTATATTAAAATTTTTCAATTATATGTAAAATGTTGGGCCTATAAGATTTTGTCCAATCATTTTATCAGGTTAATACAGCATTAACATAATGTTTTTCACAACAGCTAAAATTGGATTCGAATATTATTAAATATATGGCAGAAAATGTCTTAATACAATAATAATGGTAAACAAGGTGTGTACCTGTTGTCATTTCTTTTTCTGACCGGAACATTGTAGACCCTATCCTTATACCAAAGAACCAAGGTTAAAGGATTACCAAGATTTGTCGTTGACGGTCTCAAAAGAAAATATCCGTCTTGCGGATTACTGTAAGTACCTTCTAAAAATGTACAATTACATATTCAATAACTACCTCGTATTAAATTATAAATTCTACATTATTTTCATCTTAAGTAAAAAGTTTTATAATAGAAAAATGATAAAGTAGATCAAATATTGATATAAGATATTTCTATTATAATGTTCTTATATTTTTACTCTTAGATATTTCTATTATAATGTATTCTAAAGTTATAATTCATAACTTCAATTTTGATAATTAAAAAAATATATGCTGAGTTTCTCTTTGCAAAACTTAATTAGAAATATAATTTTAATTTAAAAAACTAATTAATACATACGTTCTTTGATCAGAATAATTGCTTGTTCCCTCGAAATATTATGAAACCAGGGCTTGTCTATATAAGATCTTTCAGGCGGCGGTGGTAGCGGCCGTGTGGCTCTCTCGGTTGACATCGAAGTGTTACTGCCAGCATGAGGTAATGTGGCTGATTTCTTATCCGGTGATCGCTCTGCAAATATATAAAAATACAATCAAGATAAAGACCAACATTCAAGGGAATATCGTAAATTGATACAATAATTGCTATGTATTTATATAATACATGTATCAATGTGTAATAACTTTTTACATTCGTACAATAAAATAATGTTCCAAAGAATGGAAACAAAATGAATACAAATGTATGAATGCATATAATATTAAAAATTTGTGTCATCAAAAGAGTAATTCAACTATATAATTTAATAAGAATTTTGATTTATAAAAATGAGAACGATTGTACCATAAATAAAATATACATCGTTGTAAAAATCTTCTTAATTAACACTAAAATTGCCGCTAAAACTACCGAAGGTGCTTAACATTTAACAATTTCCTCTATTCCTGTTTTCAGTTAGTGAAAAGTTATTATGATATTATTTATATCGTTAGAAATATTTGCATTATATTCATATATTTTCAATATTCTGTACTGTATATTTAACGCGAAAAAAAATTGAAATAATTAGATGCTTACCATTTGGTGATATATAAGTCGACACAAGTTTCATCTTTGTTACTGCATATTAAGAAAGACAGAATGAGATTTGTATCGACTTGTATCACTAAATGGGAAACACTTAATAGTAGAACTAAAATAATATCATCAGCAGTTTTAGTGTTAAAATACAGGAAAATCACATTACTAACTTGCTAAGTTAAGTCTAGCTTGCGTAAGAGTTTCCTGTGTCAAACATTCTGAAAAATTCGTTTGCCGGCGTACCGTCGTATGGAGCGATATATTTCGTTTTGTATCGCTAATTATAGTTGCCATTGTGTTGCAATTTGTCACATATATCTCGATACAAATACGTTTAAAAGTATCAATAGTATATTGTCGTGAATTTTTCTATCT